ATTGAATTTTCCAGAAAATAGTTGCGTTAAACCATCGAACTGCGTATTGGAAATGAGTAACTAAGATCTTATAATAATAAAGTGGGTAACATTGAAATATGCTTTTTTAAATTTTAATATCAAAATGCTCCTAGTGGAAGAGTTCCCTACCGCACAAATCCACGAGTCAATTATGAGTATTGGCCACCAGTGTACTTACAAGACGATAAGCTAAATGCGACAGTAAAAAACGGTAATCATATTTATTTATTTATATCAAATGGCAGGCGTTTTGATGGTTATCATTAGCCCTTTAGTTGACTTCAGGCTTCACAAGGGGGAAGGAACATCAAAGTGAAAAAGTCGAGGAGGGGGTAACAGAAAAGTGTTTCAAAGACGAAGATAGAAAAGGTAGAAATAGGTGAGGTGAGTATTGTGGAAGTAGTCGAATATGGCCTACAGTGGGGTGATGGTGGTTTGAAGTCAGAAGTCAACTGCCGGTTTATAGACTTTTTTGTCGTATGAGTATACGTTGCCCAGGGTGCTCCACGTGGAGGTAAGTCTATCGCACACCCCAAAACGGTAACCAACTTTTTAGTTAATACGATGCGAATTTCTTCCAACGTAAAAGGTTAAGTGATTATCACCATCGTTAAACATCGATTTATTTCGTTCGCCAGTGATGATGGTTCACTTTGATCATAAGGTAAGAAGACAGAATGAGATAATTCCTCGGACCAGCGATTCGTTACAGATAATGAAAAATAGAGTGGAGTCAATAATCAATTAATTGCTCTCTTCGTATAAAGAAATGAATTTTCTACTTGGTAGTTATTATATATCAGAGTAAATGGCATTGAGGCTGTCCGGTCTGCATTTCTAACGATGAAGATGATAAATCGTATCGTACATTTGCTTATCAAATGTAAGGACAATTGTCAAATGTTAATAAAATCGTTATATTTCATTATGTTATGTTATGTTAAAGGTGTAATCGACCAGGAAACAGAGCGAATATCGCAGAAATGGTATACTGCATTATGGCATTAATTAGAAATAAACTTTTATAGTTGTTTTTTTAATTTGAGGAATGTAAGGGGGGAGTTATCGTTGATCGGAAGATTGAGTGTTCAAGAAGTTGTCAATCAGAGTTAGTGTAATAAGTACTGGAGTCATCGATTCGAGAGTAATCAAAGAGTTGTACTGGCCAAAAGGCGGCTTTGTATAAACCACGGTGAGAATTCAAGAGAGTAGGAGAGAGAGATGTCATGGAAGTTTACGAGCAGATAAATGACGAGAATGAGCAGAAATATAAAACAGTTTATTAACATCACTTGGACAAACACTCTCAAGGTAAAAAAGCCTATAAGATAAACTCATCTAAGCATTGTAAACTTGCGATTGAATTATGGTGACGTAAAGGCGTTAATAGAGTTTAGTGGATGAAAAAGTAAAACGCTACCATAGAGCAATTTTGGAAAATGTATAGTTAGCCTTCAAGGTACTTTATTATTGACTCAAGCTATGCTCATCCCCTACTCCTGTAATGATTTCCAACCCATTTATTTGACTTTATCGTGGTCAATCAATAAAATATTACCCTTTTTAGGTCAACAGAGAATCGGTTATTGAGATGGTACCTGTTTTATGAGGATATTCTAAACTCATGCTGAAATAAAACAGAAAACATTGGTTTCTGCTTTGAGATTGAAAACAGCCACAAAATATTTGAATGATGCATTGAATTGTCAACCGATTTAGTTACCATATTTAGAAACTTTCCAATCTCATTATCAGAATATATCCTTAATTCATGTTTTTAGTTTAAAAATTTTTTTTTTCAGTCAAAAATAAGAATTTTAGCAGTTATATTCTTAAATTTTATTCTTGTATAACAATAGAATGTGTTATTTCATAATATATCACGTTGTTAACCAATTATGGAAGGAGGTTGAGTTGAGAGGGAGAGAGAGAGAGAGAAAGAGAGACATGGAAGAAATAAAGATAGAGTTTAGCCATTTCAGATTAAGAAGACCAAAAACAATTTGCCGATTAAAGAGTATCAAAGAGGTTTTGCATTTGTCTATTTCCTAGGAGCTGAAATACCCGTCGCGGTGAAAGCCGGTGGGGGATCTTCGCGGCCGGCTTTTCCTTTTCCCTTGCCCGTAGAAGGATCAAAACGCTCCTTCGCAGAGCCTGTGTAGCCTTTAACATCCGTTAACCGAGCGGTGGTGGCATCTGTGCTTGTTTTCTAAAAACAATTGAAGAAGATAACTTAATTATTTGATATACCATCATGTAATTTTTTATGACTATAAAAAATTATCATGCATTTTCATAGGAAAAAGAGCCATAGTTTGAATTTTCAAGGCCGAGCTTAAAAATCAGTTAAAGTCCAATAACCACTGGAAGTCGAAAATACGAATTCGATCAATAGACTAGAGACGATTAAGGAAATTTTAATTTTTCAGCACAAGGGAAGTAAATACTAATAGCTGGAATTCAAAATTAAATTAGTTTTGACTTTTTTGACATCCCGGCTATTTTTTCTCTCCACACATTGTGCCTTGATAAATTTCAATTTTGACCAGTTCAGTCTCTTTTCCTTGGCACGTAAGTTTGTACTGTGTACTGTACTTTAATCTTTGCTATTATTTCTACTACCAAATCAAGAATTGATATAACTTAAAAGTGTAAAAAATGTGTTCAACTCTACAGTGGATCATAGTTTCCTAAAGCCTAAATAAATAAATAAACATATATATACATACATATGTTCCTCCCCCCCCCCGGTTGTGAAAGCCATTTGATATAAAAATATTATTGGCTAATAGTATTTAACCCTCTGTATTTCTAGCAAAACGTTTACTTCCGCTTTAATATTTGTTTGATGGCATTTTATGGGGTTAGCCACTACGAATTGTTTCGTTGTTTAAGCCTTGAACTATCTGAAGATCAGCCTACTTCGTGCTTTTCACGAAGTAATGTAAAAACGCGGTGATTGACATGAAAATCTTTAGGCGAGAAATAGTCACTTTGACCAGTGGAAAGGAGGTACTTGGTTGTTTAATTGAATCATCTTAGGCACTTTCCATCTCTACAACAAATTATCTTCATTTCATTTTTGTGCTCTTGCTAACAAGATTTCGGTGTAATTAGCAAAACTAAATAAATTTAAAAACTTTCACTTTCCTTCAGTTCATGTTTATTTAAAGGGCAAAATCCATTTTGACAAATTTTGAATTTAAAAAACTCTGGAAGTTTGTTTACGAATGTCAAACACACTGGACTTACAAATAATTGAAATATTCAGTAACCATATTTGCATTTAAAAAAAGATTTTGAAGTAAATTTTAAAAATTTAAATCAACAAAATTCCATGGAACCTCTTCGTCACAGGCTTGAGAATCATAGAAACTGGGTTAACTGTGAAAATTAAAAATTATGGGTTTTCAGATTTCAACTATGCTTGAGTGCGCTAAATTTTGAAATAGTCATAAAAGAATACGTAAAAATATGACCAAAAAACATAACAGAATCACGATGAATCACGCCAATTTTTTAATAAATGCAATATACTAAATTGTTTAATTATATTAACTAACGAGAAAAGTATTTCAGTAAATAAAGAATAATGAATACTAAAACTTCAACATTTAAAGTTACGATTTACATAGCTAACTTTTGCCATTTGAAGGCAAATGTATTCGGAAACCCTCACTGTAGTTCATACCACAATGATATCTAGAAAAGGTGTGAAGTTTATTCGAATATTTATTATACATTTCTACTGCTAAGAAGTATATTCAAAATAATAGATTGCTTTAGCAAAAGTTATTGAGTCATAATTTGTTAAATTCCTGCCAATTCTTATAATTATGCTAATAATTTGTCAATGAGTAAAAAGAACCAAATTTGGTGTTACTCAAAAATGAATGTAAATCGATAATTAAATCAGCAAGTTCAGGACGTCATGAATATATATATATATATATATATATATATATAACTCGGTAGACATTTGTCGATTCCTGAAATTCTGCAATTTGAATATTAGATCGTGAGATATTGGACTTCGACCAAGAAGTGAAAGACCACAACTTTAAACTTCTACTTCTGATGGCAAAACCGTTGTCGTCACACTGTATATTCTTTGTCCAATCGGAATAATATTTTACTAATTGTGGTTGTTCCTAAAAACCTCAATATACAGATACTTTCCCATAGTGAAAAAAGTTGTATCTTGCCCCAATATAGATAGTCAAAGATGATTCACCTGCTATAAAGCTATAGAATGAGGGGCGCAATAGTTGCTCCCAGCAAACATGGGGATTAATTAGTTTAATCTTATTAATACTTTGTCATTTAATCTTACATACAAAGTAAATAATAAAGAATATAACTTTTTAAATGATATTTTTATCCCAATGGACAACAGTAAATATGACATTCGTATAATATGCCAATAGTTTAAGCAGTAGGAAAGTACTTATTTAATGTTCATGCAAAAAGATCAATTGGAGAGGTCAACAAATGTTCAATAGTGCGAAAAAGTGTTATTTAAAATAAATTGATTATCCTATAAATCAATAAAATCAGACAAAAATTGTGTGCTCTAGTTCATTAGGCCAAATAAAAAGAAAAACTAAATATCCATCTACGAGTTGGTAAAGAACGCAATGCTCACATGCCACAACCATAAAACCTTAGCTTTGTTGAAGTTTCACATCTTGTAAAAAGGTAAATTAACTTGAAAATATTAGCTTTCAGTCAACATGATTTAAATATAAATATTGATTAACGATTGGTGACTCTTCTCCGTCGTGAGATAGTTATCAGAAATGTGAATCATTGGCTATGTCCGTCTTTTCGGACCAGTGAGCCAATTAGGCTCAAAGACGATGAAAATGTTGTGTTCCTCAAGGGGAGACAACTTTCCCCTGCACTAGGAGCGGCTTGTGCTAGCGTGTGAAAGGTAAAATTGTCCCTAAGTGAAGTGAACTTTTAAAATAACTACAAATTATATCCTCAAAATAATTAAACTTAACTGACCACATGGATAGCTCTGAGTATTTTTACTTAACTTCTATTTTCTAACGTTATTGTTAGGTAGGAATTAAGTAAAAAATCCAATATTTAATATTATTTGGAGCAAACATTAAAATTCAATCCTTTCTCTATTTCTTCTTTTTTAGTTCAAATTGCATAATAAGTACTCGCTAAGTGTATATTTTTCAGAACTCATTTAAAATAACTCATAAATTAAATTAACATTTTACTATGTGAATATATGATTGTACTTACAGTAGCACCATGGAGTTTTGGAGTTGAGTTTTCAATTTTCGCTTTCAGTTCAGAGGCGGCCTCTGCTTGGTCCTCGATTCCTTTCGAAGCGGCATAGGACTTCGCTAACCGACCTTCAAGGAATTCCACGAAGCCTTTGAAATCCACATCTCTGCAAAAAATAATAACTCGATATATTTTTCATTGTTATTCACCGTTCTACACAAATTTGCCGCCATGAAAATGCATCGGAATGTAAAAAATTAAGCCAAGGAAAATGAGTCGACGAGACCAGTAAGATTAAGATTATGCTTCAAAACTTAATTTTGCCTTCCGAATTAAACACGTTTTATTTTTCGAATCGAAATGAATTCCTTTTATGCTCCATTGTTGCAGCGCCTCAAGGCCTAGACTTGTGTTCCATCTTCTAAGGGAATCCACAAAGCTTTAATGACTTTTTGAGCACTATTTGTCCACCAATTTAATGCGTATCTTTTTATAATATATGTGATGTGTCAATTAAAGGATAATGACTATCATTCTTTCAGCATGCTTGAGATAAAAATAGGGCATTCACAAACATGAAAAGATAACTTCTGACAATTTTCTAAGGGAAAAATCAATACTATTCAACCTTCCAAAAATAGTTCGGCTTATTTTTCATTGAACGGGTTTTGTCAAATAAAAATTTAAGATACACATGTCATTAAGAATAACTATCGCGTACAAAATACAGAACGAATCCCAACTCAGGAAACTTGAAAAACAGGAAATTGATAAGAATGTTAAACTCATTTTTTAAATAATTTACTAACATTAAGATGGGAAATAATCTTAAAATAAGCGAACCAAATATTCTTCTTTTTTAATTCGACAATAAATTTACCATAGCAAAATATTAGCATATTAAAATATTGAGCCAACTTAACATAGAAAGTGCCTTAAACAAATTTACTCTGCCAGTTCTCTGAACTTTTATAATAATGAAATCAATATTAAATAGTCACGTGACTCCACTCAATCGCCACTAATTACGGTTTTGCATCACTTACAGATAATTTATTGATGCTACAACCCCCCCCCCTAGTAAGGCGATTTCAGAGATCACCAAGATCCAAGTCAATTAAAACACTCTTAAATAGCCTTTACGAGCCTTTGTTGTAAGAAGTGGCATGACCTAGAATTTAATTAAATCAAACGCCGTCAACAAATTTCATGATTATGGATCAAACATTAAGATTGATTTACTGAACATATGGATATTTTACGATTCAAAATTTACTTTTGATCTTTATATAACTAATTTCTATAAAAATTAATCATTAACCTCAATTTACCCTCTCAAAAGTGCATTTAATAACTATATTTCCAAAACTGTAATTTTTGATGCCAAAACGAGTTTTTTCAACACTTGAATAGGAATTTTATACAAGCAATATCGACGAAAATCATTGAAATTCAAAATTCGACAACTTTTTCCTTTCATAATTTATTAATTCATAATGCTTTGTATAGGCTACTTAAAAGCAATTGATTTATCTTTGTGAAATTGGGTTGTTCTGTAAGTGCTAAAAGTCTAGTTCTCTTCAATCAAATGAAAGCTGGTTTTACTAAAATCCATCCTTTCTATTAAAGGTTGGTCAATTAACGCTTTTACGCAAAAAATACATATATATATATATATTTTAAGTTCCTTGGTAAAAGCTTATATTTTTGCATTGATATTTAAATGTATGGTAAGTTTTATCTTAGAGCCTAATGCCCTAAATCCACCAACACACATTTTCCTTGCAGTAATAATCTTGCAAAACAAATCTCAGAACACAATCTCTACCGTTTTACTTAAAATAATACATTCAAAGGGGGGGGGGCTGTGAGATAGACTTACCTCCACGTGGTGCACCCTGGGCAACGTATACTCTTACGGCAAAAAGGTCAATAGGCCGACAGTTGACTACTGACTTTGAACTACCATGATCACACTGTAATACGCGTTCGACCACTTCACAGCACTCACCTTACTCTTTTCTCTACCTTTGTGTCTATCTCTTTCACATCTGTGAATCACTTCTGTACCCCCTCTCCAATTTTTCTAATTTTTGATGTTCCTCCCCTCTGTAAAGCTTGAAGTCAGCTAAAGTGCTAATGATAACTAACAAAACGCCTGCCATTTGATAAAAAGGAATGCATTCAAAGGGAAGGGGGTGGGGTTGGTAAGGTGACATCTGGAAGTACCTGGACATAAATCAATTACAAAAAAATATACAATCTTGGAAAAAATACGAGAAAGGATAACGGAAGCATCCCAAGCTGGTCTTCTGGAAAAACAAAGCTGTACAATTTTTGCCATAGTTCATGCAACTGATTTCATCTCTGTGACAACTATGGGCCAATTCATACAATGAATCATTAAAATTCAATCTAATTTTCCACCAACCTCAATTGTTGTCAGAATTTGAGGAAATATCTGAGCCAGCACTAAGCCACATCAGCTGTCTCTCACCAATTTCGGACATATTGTGGACTTCAAATATTTATTTATTTATATCAAATGAAAATCAGAATATTAACATGCTTGTGTAAATACATCTTCAAAATATATTGGGCTTCATTTTAACAAGGCTTTAATATGCCAATGAACTTGTTTAATCACAAACGAATGAACTGGCACGTGGATTTAGATAAATAATTTTTTGCACAAATTCAATAGTCTAATGTCTAAATTGCATAAAATTATTTTAAATTGATTCAACTTTGTCCTGGAATAGAGAATGGCATTCTTTCATAGAGTATATAATTTTGCTTACACGTGTAATCCATACAATGACAGTTTATTGAAGGTGGATATGAAATAGCGTTTATTAATCAATTCAAGAATTTTATTATATTAACGTCGATGGAAAATGAAGGGGTTTATTAGAAATCGTTGGTTTTTAAGACTTATAGGCAGTCAGAGAGCAGTAAAAATGGTCATATTATATCACAAGGCAAATGATCTCATTAAAGATCAAAATTTCAATAACAGGTGGTTCTATAGAAACAATTCAAAGTTTGTAGCATATGAGCATAGTATGACCTACTATGACAGCCAAATAAAAGGCCGATGATCTGGCACATTCTTCCCCTCCCCCCATCTGTGATCCACTGTTTACATTTCTTCATTGATTAAATTATCATACCTTTTCCACATTCATAAACTTTATGTGATTTAATTGCCCAAATTTACTATCCTGTTGTCCACTGAAATAATGCTTCCTTCTCCTTAAAACATCGGTTTCATTGCCTACTATTAGTGCTCATAAATGGATGTAATCAAAGAACTCGAAGAACATTTATTTAAGATGACGAATTTTGAGAGTTATAAAAATGTTCTTTCTCGATTTTTAATTGGATGTCCAAACTGAACATCATATGTAGACATAAATGCTATGAATTCTAATAAGTCGAAAAATTATTGTCATAAGCGGTTCATTTTAATTTAAATTTAATAAAATAGAATGTCAATACACACGTGGTAGGGAGGGAGTTCACTTTCACATTTTCCTACTTTCTAAGTTCAAAATTTATTTTAGGCACAATTATCTTTGAAAGCTTGACATAATTTCGTTAAAATTTTGTTTGAGTATTGATGAAGATAATTGAAAGATCATAAAATAAATAAATTACTGTGCTAGCTTAACTATTTTTAATTACAATTTGCACAAATGGTAGTAACATACTTTATCTAACATACAATAGATTAGACATTAATATTATAGAGAATTCTTATCAACTTCCAAACATTTGAAAAATGATACTCAGTGGTAGTATGAAATTGTGATGATAGAAAAATTAATCGAAATTGTGACACAAGGCACATAAAATGAGAATTTATTTAATGATAAAACTTTCATTTGCCAAGATATTTACAGATTAGATGCTAGAATTCATCATGTTCAATAATTAAAATTTTCGTTTTAATGATGAGCTACATAATTTAGAAATTTTTAATTGAATGATAGTTAGCGGACGCAAATATCAATTGATCCTTTCCAAACAAAAAAACTTATAATAATTAGTTTCATTTTGAACGCACGTTAGTCATTGTAGTTTAATATATATTTTAAAATGAAGTATAATGCCCATCAATTTTAAAGTAAAGATAAAGCGGGTTCATTTTCAAATGGAAACTCACTTTTTTGCATTGCCGACAAAGCCTCTGAATTCAATATCCACCCTATTAGCATCCATATTTTTGGAATATAATCCAGCATCGGTACAAATGCGCTTAATTGTTTTATCCGTTGCAGTTGTCGAACCCTTTCTCACAATATCGCAGAACTGATTGAATTTCTCCTCCAAAACACTAATGTCAGATCCACTCGCCATGGTCTAACTGTTCGCCTACTTTTCCTAAATTAGCCTTGCAATAATGGGGAAGACGTTAAAAGGCGTAAAGTGAAGGTCGTTTTCCTCTGACCAATTAGTGTGCGCATATCCGGCTCGTAGTTTCAGTAGAAACCAATCAAAATGCCTCTCGTTAAGAGATAGGCTACTGTTGGTGAGTGAAGTTTCACACTTTATACCCTTAAACAAACATTGCGGGAGTAATAACACAGATTATAATAGGGCTTTTATGCGTCTTTGGTAAAAATAGCCTGAGTGACTGTATTTCCATGGAAATGGAAAACGAGCACCAAAAGAGCTCTGCTACTTTAAAATTTTTGAGTATCCCTTTTATGCTATGTTAGCTAATCAACATCAAGTAAGGCCATATCGCCATCTCAGCTTATGAAGGGAATCATGAAAGTAGAGTAAATGAGCGTCGATGGTGATTATTAAACAAATGAAAATACACTGAATATAGGTAGCAATTATTAACGTAACTTTGAGATTTGAAATGAAAGCTAACTATTGAGCAGTTATTGTATAATTCAAGTTACTAATACCAAAGAACTTCAGCATCGCTTGAGGGGTATTCAATTCCTCTCTCCAAATAAATATTTACTCTACTTCAAAGAAAATAATAATGGTATAACAAAAGGGGTTCCTATGAATTACAATCATTGAATATTCACGTGTTTTAACAAGATGTTAGAATACTGAAAGACGAGAAGTCAAATGTGAGGAGATGATGAAGTCAAGATGCAAAAAACCCTCATTTGATTTGGAATCAGAAAAAATTTACTCAAAGGGATTGAAATTGGCAGCGAAAAATCTCAATGTCCCTATGCGCAATCTTTATTTAAGCTTGAGACTTGTCCGAAGGTGGCTTTCTTCTCTTTCCAAGCAAACTTAAGCTGGATTATGCAAAATCACACTCCTAGTGATTTGTAGACTTCCTTCATGGAAACCAGTGCAGCTATCCTCTAAGCTCATTGGTTAATATACTCTAATGGAAATGAAATCTAATTTCTTGAAGAAGTGAGGAGCAACTAGATCGAATTTCAATATCAAACTTCAGAGATATCTCTACTTTTCGAAGAAGAATTCTTCATTCTTTTCATTTAGAAACTTTAGTATTTAGTAATGTAGCTATTTACGTATAAATCCTGCGATGTGCGATAGACTTTCCTCCACGTGGTGCACCCTGGGCAACGTATACTCATAGGGAAAAAAGTCTATTAACCGGCAGTTCATTTCTGGTTCAAACTACCATCACCCCACTGTATGCCATATCGACCACTTTCACAGTACTTACCTCACCTTTTTCTATCTTTTCTACTTTCGTATTTGAAACACTCTTCTCTTCTCTTCCCTCCCACTCCCCTCCTGTCGCCTTTTTTCACTTTGATGTTCTTTCCCTTCTGTGAAGCCTGAAGTCAACTACAGGGCTAATGATAATCATCAAAACGCCTGCCATTTGATATAAATAAATTTATAAATCCTTTTAAACTGATATCGTCTGCCTAACTTTGTCAATCGAACAGTGTTTCTATGTGAAAATTATTTGCGAATTTGTAGGAAGATAAATCAGTTGAATTTTCCATATGCCGAGGAAGAAGTGATAAGTACAATCACAACCTTAAAGTGAGAAGGCATGTGACCTTTAGAGTTATAACGAGGCAAATTCCTACTAATCACCTGTTTTTTACAACTAATATCGTTATTTGTGCAAAAAATGAACTCCATATATCCATTATTTTCTACGTATTAGATGATTTCTTATGATTGAAAGCTATTACATTCATCCCAAGAAATAAAAATGGCATAAATCGGTGTTGACCTCCACTTCTTTCAGAAAAGTTTAGTTTCTCTTCAAATCACTAAGGATAGGTAAATTTTAATTCGACTAAAACCGATTGCTTGGATTATGCAAAAATACGGAGTGTGGATTCTTGAAAAGTGTCTCTTTGTTTTTTCTCTTGTTGCTTTCTAAGATTTATGGTAAGTTTCAAATCTAATTGTACTTTAAAAGCATGTTATTGTATTTACTACTCAAACTGTTTTAATAAAACCACACAAATTGAAGATTTCTCAAAATAACCAAACTACAAAACGATCACAATCATTGCGAGTTCTTGAAAAGGTAATAATATATTTATTCTTATTGAAGACTTGATATAATCGTAAATGAAGTACTGATTCAATTTTATTTGGTGTCCTAATCTGCTTTAATGAATGCCTTTGGCTTTGTAACTACCACATCGCACATGAATGACCAAGCCCTATTCCATTCAGTCCCGGAGTAATTTCGCAATTCAACTTTAACAGCTTTGTATCCAATTGTCACCAAAGTAAAAGAGTAGAAATAGAGATGAAACAACTGTCAGATCGTAACTCTTCACTGTGTTAAGTGACAATACTTCTTTTTATTCCTTCGCGTTTTCACCTCGCTTGTATTATTTACTTCTTTGTCGAATAATTAGAACTTAAATAAGGCCTATCTTATTTCCATAATTTAAAAAAATAAACAAATCTAAAATTCTAGTTAATGATCCATTTCAAAGGGCCTTCTTCATAACTCAACCAAGCTATGAATATTAATTTAAAAATATTGATAAGCAAACCACTTTTATCATTTTGAAGTATAAAACAATGGAAGATTGTATTTAAAATCTCTTTTTCATTCAACATGTCAGTTGATATTAAGTTAAATATAAAATTGAAGTGTTACTAGGACCTTTGGCAATCCTGAAAGCGCATTCCGGTTGAGGAACTAGAATTTGGACTAAACTGGAAGCTATGCCAGCAAGTTCAGATCACTTACCGTAGTGAATGCGAGACCTCTAGCTAAGAAATGTTCAGCCGCATTGAACTGCCTGACTGTCGTACGTTTTATGCCTTATTGCTACCAAATGAATGCCTTTTGACAGTGCTTTTACCATTTAAAGGGAATTAAATAAGGCATTTGGGAATTTTAATGACGTGTTAAACGAAACAGCTCATTATGGTTTAAACTGGGCTACAGATAATATTTTAACCCAGAGCATGGTCGATAATGATATATTTGAGCCATAAGGTCGTTTTTAAATGAAAATAGTTTACAAGTTCCGAAAAACCTAATATCTAGTCAAGTGAATGAATAAATGCCTAAAATAATAAACTTTGAAACAACATAAATAACAACGCTTATGATAAACAGCCCAGTTATCTAAGTCTAAATGAAGAATACGCTTTAGCTTGACCTCAATGAAATCAACAATGGCCTTGAAATAATTGGAATACACAAGTAAACCAGTGGCATAAATAGAAGGTTGGTGGAAAAGATATCTGATTTAAGAAAAAGTTTGGTTTCTCAAGGAGAAATATTTAACCAAATATTAGGACAGTGTTATCTAGAACGTAGTAAATGAGAGGTCAAAATGCATGTTGAAAAAATTTCTTGATCAATAAAAGTTTGTCAGGGCAAAAGAAGTGGGACCATAGGTTTGTTGAGAGCCATTTCTAAGTCTTTGAAGAGTATTCATAATAACGAATTGAGGCCGGTGATTTGGATTCAAGTTACCTCTTTAATTGTCAATTTACTTATAGCAAAATGGCAAAGGATACGAAACTTTTAAACCGAATCAAATTTATGGCAAAACGGTGCAAAGAATGAGGTCAGTCCAAAAATGAGCGATAAACCATTTCGTGATGAATTAATGAAGGTTGGAAATGAATGAACTTATTAAATATATTTCTTTATATGCCGATACATGCACTCACTTTCGCGATTGATGTAATGGGAAAAAAGTCTCTTTCTGACTAGCTAATTTTATAGCCAACATATAGGTTAAATATTACGAACGTTATGCCTACATAAATTAATCATTGCAGAAAAGGATTATGCATTTGTGCCCGATAAAGACAAACAGCATCAGAGAGCGAGTTATATTCTGACAATGTGTAAGAATTGCATTGGCATGAGTAGCCCAGCAATAGCACTTCCAATCCTGTCCTGTTAAAATGATTCCCATAGCATTTAATGATAAACTTACATTTAGTCATTTTTTATATTTTGCGACATTGCATGAGCTAATGCCTTTCTCCTTACATTCCAGTTGCTCATTAAGTTTTGCTAAGAAACAAGAAGTGGACATAATTTCTGAGCACATTTACCATTTTGCTCTCTCTATATAAATTTTCTAACACTTTTCCAAACTAGCTATTTGTTGTTGTGACCCTCGAACGGCTTCCTTTCTCTTACCATATCACCACGTAAAACATTATTTGTATGTTAATCTCATTCAAAATGCTGATGGACTGATCGTGGTCACGTTAACCTGTAGCAAATATTGCACAAATAGGCCACACTAATTTCTATTTCAAAATGTTCTCATACAGAATAGCTCCCGAAATCAGGTAAGATAAGTGACCATTTCGTGGGAACAGAGCCCATGATGTGAATAGCATTGACTGTCGTTTCGTGTCACTTATACAAAGTTTAGTCAATGGAATATAAATAAGGATTTATTAAACAATGCAGGAAATATTAATTAGTGATTTGCTGAGAGGCGTCGGTGCTCACTTCCGCACCTTCGAGTCCATCTGAGTGCCCATGCGACTTCTTTTTTCAGCCATGGTAGCGTTGTTGTTGTTGTGTTCAAATTAGAGCCTTTTTTAAATATTTGCAAATAGTTTAGGATGTCATTCAATTTGAAATGGTCTCTAATTTTTCCGGGCTTTAGGGTCTTGTATGAATTCTAGCAATATGTACTCATTCAATCTATATATTTTATCGGAAGAGAATGTGCGGTTGAGTTTCATTAAACTATATTTTAAGTAGGATGATTCCTTCGTTTGCATCTGAGCTTCATCATTAATCTTTCTCCACCTTATTTCATCAATTCTGTGTAAATAGTTCAAATTAATATATAGATGCACATTGTTACAAAGACTTTTTTAATAAAGAATGCTGCCTTAAAGGTATTTAAAATAACTGAAGACTTAATAGGCGATATCAAAATAGTCTCAGAAATAGCATTTCATATCAAAGAAATTAAAAAAGGCTTGGAATATAGAAACCTAATTACCAGTCAATGAATTCATGGACAAGTTAGCCAGTATAGGCTTAAATATATAGCTATACGCCGAAAGAAAACTTGTGTTAGAAAGGAAATTGAAAAAAAGAACATTTGTCAATTAAATAAATAATGAAATTCGAGAATATAATTAGTGGTTCTGAAAACCATGTAGCTAAAATCATTATTATTGAATTCATTCAATTACAAGCACGAATCCAGAAATCGATTTAGAAATGGCATTACCGATTTCCAAAGTCGATAATTTTAAGAGAGACAAAGCTGCAGCGTTTGTAATTAGTCTCAAACTAACCGATGGCCTAATAGGGTTTGTAAATCACCTTTCATTTTTATCACTATTCTGCCGATAAAATTGAATTGGTTTAAAACGTCTATATTATGATGAAAAATCGTATTCCAATATAATCCATTGCTTTGTTAATAAAGTGACATGTATTAACTTCCTGCACACTTCCTTTTATGGTTCTGGGTCAACTACAGTCAAGTTGTATTTAATAGGCTGGTAAATCATCAGGGCCAAAGCTAGACTTCCCTGCATTGCATCAGCATGATAGAGTTTCGCTTCATTAAAGAATCTGAATGAAGTAACAAAGGAGATTTTGACCGAAAGACTAAATGTTTCTACATCATATAAGTTATTTGCTAGGCATTTTTGAAATGTTTATTTTGAAATAGGTTATACCATTAAAGTTGCATTTTACAAAGGCGTCTTATGAGAATTTGAGGATATTGAGTCTCCAAAGCGAAGACCTTTACTTACTTGAATTTCCGTGAGGTCGCACTTGACAAAACAGTTTTCACTTGTCTGTGGAAATTTAGTGAAATCATATTGGCTCAGAGCAGAACACCATTTCACTAACCCAGTCACTCGTACCGCTTTAAGTGTCCAAAGAACATCTGCATATTACGTTTACTTATCCAATCATCAGTACAAATATTAATTTGAGAATTATAAGGCACAAATTTACGTTTTGAATAAATATTTTCAAAATTTTAAGACGTATTTGTTCACTGCACACTCAGGAAGTTTTCTGTCACTTTCATTAGGATAAATATTGCGGAGCCACACAAAGGTGTGGTACTTTCCAGAGCACATATCTTTGATGCACTTGTAAACTAAGGTAAGAAGACATAGATGAAATAATATGGCATACTTCGTATTTATTGTCCATCGCGGGAAACTGCTCAAAGGCGTGTATTAACCTTTCAATTCTATGATTTACACTAGTTAAAAATTCAACCTGGATGTGCCGCAGTTCAAAAAGACTCAGACCACCATTTCAAATGGGCTATAAATAATTCACTTTAATATACCCTAACTTCATGAAATTTTACCTGTTGTCTACTTAGTTTTGTCGATTTTAACTCAACCCTTTTCAAACGAGACTATTTTAATGGTTAGATTAAATATATACCAAATTTAGAGCTGTCAATACAAAATGTGCGTCTCATTTCGGCAATGATTGTTCTAGCTCAGTCTGTATTGGGTTACATTCTCGTCGTATTTGAAAAATATACAATTATTGTTCGATGTTAAGCGTTGAATTAGTACTAGAAAAGAGGAGATTATATAACAATACCTTCTTCAACTTAATCTAACTGTGGCTTTGAAATGCCTTAACCTATATTATAAAACTCTACATACTAAAGTTAATGTGCATTTCATTCACAACATCTTAAAGATACCTTAAAAAGAATTTCATATCCATTGGAACTTTCCATTGTTCAAAATAAACAATGGCTTAAATCTGTAATTCTATAAAGTATACTAAGACTTTATATAGCATTGATCAAGCTGGCAAGTTTAAAAAGGCCCCAATTAATCATACCAAAAAATTTCAGTTTCCTTGGTCGTTTTAAAAATTTATCAACATGGTGCTTTCAGTTAAAGTTATAAATAATAACAACAAAGGGAATAAATCAACAGATGTAGTCTTAACAGGTATGATTATGTGAAAATCACGCTCTTGAAAATTCGTAACACCCCAAAGCCGCACTAAATGCAGGCTTGTTATTAGAATAAAAGCACAAAATATTAATTGAGAAGTTGCTAACTTATCATTTGAAGCGAGTACTTGTTACTATCATAATACAGTGCAAAAATATATAGATGCCACTTCGTATTTCTCTTCATACAATTTAAGCAGAAAATTTGCTAATTTTACGTAATAAGGCAGATCTTAATAACAATTTTTCTCAAAGTAGCTTGGAATTTACTTCATACGTATTTATTTTATTTTTTATAGTCTTGCTAGCATGACCAAATGAATTTATATTATGTTATATTTATTTCTTAAAATTGTGATCTAATACTATTATTTAATAATGAGCATTTAATTGTTCATTCGCATAAAACTGCGCATGCTCCTGGAGCGCTAATTTGAGTGTTTCGTCACCTGCCGGTCGGGTTTACTAGTTGTCGGTTTTAGGTACCGTTGTTTATGTTAAAGATTTCTTTTCATAACATTAAATAAGAATGAACGAAAAGAAATCATGGGATAGGGACGGAAATTTCTCGTAAAAGATGATATTTTGATTATATTATTTAGTCTACTGCCGAAAGTTATCAATGGTGGCATTGCTGGAATTGTTGGCGTTTCGTGCGTTTTTCCAATCGATTTGGTCAAAACACGTTTACAAAATCAGCAAAAAGGTGCTTTGATTTATAAAAGCTTGTAAGTATGCTTATTTATCATACTATGTACATTAATTATATTTTCATGAAATCAAAACTCGCACTTTTTCGTTATCGTTTACTATTATTAAGCAAACTATTTTATTTAAACTGTTTTCCTTTTCTCTAGTCTTGATTGTGCTAAGAAAACCTACAGAGCTGATGGATTTTTTGGCATGTACAGAGGTACGCTTGTGATTTATACTTTGTTTTGCCGATATCTTTTTTAATGTCATATGTGTTTGTAGGTTCGGGTGTTAATTTGTTACTCATTACTCCGGAGAAGGCAATAAAATTGGTCGGGAATGATTTCTTTAGGTATCATCTTAAAAGAGATGGGTAAGTTTGGGCTTTAGTACACTTGGACGGGCATCGGTTTAATTAGCACATTTTCGTTAATGTGATTAGGAATTGTGCTTTTTATATTATACCAATTTCACAATAAGATAAAGCATTAAGTTCTTTTTGAAATTCTGAATATTTACCAATCATCTTTTGATCTCGTCGCATTGTTTTTCTGTTATATTTTCTTTCATTCACCTTATCTTAAAACTTTCAAATTTTAGCACATGTCTCAATCAGCTATAATATCCCCCATGCTATTTTAGCAAAGATTTTTTAATGCTCACCTTGGACTTGGGTGTGACGCTATTAAGTCTCCCTGGTATAAAATTGATTTCTGTCATAGTCTTTATTGGAAAGATACAACCAGTTCGGTTGGCTATTTGCTTATTAGTCATGTACTGATGTGCATTTATCTTCCGATGTCCAATTTCCCCTTTGATCACATTAGTTATTGTGCACTGGCACATTTGGTCACTCATTCTCACTTGAATTGGTTTTTGCCATTTATGGAAGTGGACAAATTTTTGAACAATTTATTGTTTTGAATGCTAGAACTACGGTTCCGAAAATGCTTTGGGGTTCATCAGTCTATGTTCATACGAACCCACACACTGACGCAAATATCTAATTTTCGCGGCTAAGATGATAGAATGTAATTGTTCATTGTTATTATAGATCTATGGGTAAGAGTGTACCATTAATGTGATAAATACGTAGTGTTAAGTTCTTTACTCAATAAACGGTCCTGTTTGAAAATGAGTAACAGGGTTCACTGAATGCAAGCGCGAACATGTTCCAGGTTATTGGATCGTCAAATTTCAATGTATATTTGTGATGTACCTTGTTTGCCTCCTATAATAATCACAAGTCCCAGAACTCCATAAAATATAAAGTTACTTTAAAGGCTGAGTTTTCCATAGAACTCTGTAAGATAATGACTTTGCGATTGAGCATATTTAAATATGAAAATTTTATGCATAATTGCCAGTAAATTGTTGATTCACTTCCCAACCAGCAATTTACTTTTAATTAACCGTCAACATATATCACATAATAGTTGAGTTCAATACTCGATCTTTATTCTTCTAGAGTTCCACTTTCTCCGTTTCGAGAAATGGTGGCCGGTGGATGTGCCGGAATGTGCCAAATTATTGTTACAACTCCCATGGAATTGCTCAAAATTCAGATGCAAGATGCTGGCAGAACGCGAGGTAAGTCGGATCAGTGTAATATGCTAGTCTAAATATTTAGGTTAAAACATCTTATGGTTTGCACATCACAACCTCTACTTTTTTTCTGTTATTGTAATTGTGGTACAAATATGCTTCTGCACAGCAGAACGAATATAGATTAAGTTACTCATTTCTTTGATATTTTGAGTATGTTAAAGCCATTCCCCCAATTCCGAATCGGTGCATGCTTTTGTGTTTAAACTGGAGTCGGTGGGCAAAGGAACTTTAGTAGCCCTAATTCTATGGCAGAAAAACACATTTTCTACCTTTTTTCGATCCCTTTTAATTGAAGGTGGTTCTGAACTCACTAACTTGCTTTCCGGTATTGGCTTGAGAAATTGCAAAATCTAAGGGCTACAAAGTGTGATTTAACATGAACTCTAGGTTTTTAAAGCATTTGTATAAAAGAACTCGAGAAGAAAGAATATTTTGTCGTATTTGTATCCCCAACAATACTTGATTGAATTTACTGTCAAAATCTCACCTCAGTGAAGGCAATGAAATTCGATTGGAGTTGAATAAAGCAAATGACCCTTTAAAGGGGTATGTAAGATTCAATACTTTGATGAAATGCCATCTCAACGATTGCATGAAACACTATCTGATTATTATTAAGCTATGGAATTGTTTGCTCCGTTCATTGAGTGTTTGGTGATGAATCTGAAGTCATTTTCCTCTGATTTTACCGTTGGCTTTTCGTTCAGTATTTACTTTGGCTTCTACTCTAACCCCATTAAAAAAATTATTTTTGGAGCCTGACCAAATCGTTTTAATACCACGTTAAACTACAGCCTGTATCGTGTTAGAAGATTGGGTTTATTAGTATCACAAGTGCATTAGATCACCTCAAGGAAATGATCAAGTCATCGGTAGAGCAACTGAAAGTGGTGGGAAGAGAACGTGCATCATTACTGAGCAAGTGGAACCTATTTGACGTCTATAAAGCTAATTCAGCTACTCTGTGTGGAATTGAGTGATTTTATGTCCTTCGTTCATTAAATGAGCCTTCCATAGATTAGTCATTCAATGATCAGAACTATGCAGAGCTATGATTTGTCCCGTAGCAATCTTACCCACTTCTTGTCAGAATACTCTCACATGAGGAGTAAATTTTTCCTCTTCTTTCTATTTGAGGTACTAGAGCTCAGACCTTGTAATATCTCTTGGACTTTTTTGCTAAAATGTTGAACTGCTTCTCTGATAGCAAACCAACAAAACAACGATCATAGCTATAGTGTTTTATGTATATTTCTTTCTATTTTGGCTAATTAATTTCGCAGATTCTTTCTTAGTCTCCCAGCATTTGTAACTGCTCGTGACACCTTGTCAACGATTTGGGATAGAATCTGTTATCAGTTCAGCGATCTTTGGATGCTTAAATATCAATAACTTGAAGAAAACCATTGTTTAGCTAATAGTACCTTTTAGTAACTGAAGTCTCTTATCCATATATTTCAGTTCTGAGTCAATTGTGGTTTAGGCATAATTACCAGATAAATGGACATTGCAGTTGTAACTAAATTTTCCAGCACACACAGCATTTTGAGTTAATATACTTTCTACTTGTATTCTCTCTTTTACACCGTTTATCGATTACGTTAAAATCCCTTACTGGGTCTAAGAGGTTATGTACTTCTATGTTGAACCAAATTTCATGCTTTTAAAATATCATCACTTTCCGTGTCAACGAAGTTGGATTGCCCTAATGGCTGATGTTAATTTATACCAAGGCAGTAGCATCGTGTCTGGTCAAAACGTCATAGCATCTCCTAAAGCTACATTTGCAGTCATTTGATTTTGTTAACTCTTACTTTAACAAAGCTTACATTCGTTCACTGCAAGTATGCTATCTTGCTAGAGGGGGTGGGTGGGTGGGGGGGGGGACTGAATCGTTCCAATCTATACTAATAAGTTAGAATGGCTCTACCAGGACTCGATTTTCGTTTGTATACGTCAAAACTATCATCTCCATCATCTCTCTTAAACAGGATATTCACTTATGCACATCCTGTCATTTATTTGTGCTGTTAATCAAGATCACAGTGATAGTGTTGGTGGCGACTTAGTGGTTTTCAATTTATTCTATCGTCTTCTCTGTTTTATGTATGTGTGAAAGTGACCTTAATTTTTTGGATGTAGCCTTAGAAGTCATGTGACTACGTGCAGTGGATTCCTTTTTTGTTTATCCATACTCCGTTGGTAGGTGCATAAATAGGCACACTGTGTTCGTAAGGGCATTTAATTAATGTTCGTGTCCAACATGCGTTAAAGAAGGAGCCGTAGATAACTGTCAATATAGTGAAATCAATGGTTCAAGTGCAAACGGACCTGCGAATTCTCATCAGGGATGCAAGTATTAATATGTTGACAATTTTCGTGATCATTCAGGAAAAAGTTTGTTTGGAAAAGCTAAAACACCGCTAAATTTAGTGTTTTTCATTTTAGTTAAATGTCAGATCTCTAAGCAAGCTTCCATTTGTGTAATGTTGGCGCTTTTTGGTTTATAAGTGTCAATGTCTTCGTGAGAGACAAATTTACAACATCACGGGAAACACTAGTCGGTAGAAAGACTTGATTTAAGTGGGGTGAAGAGTACGATCTCGTTTTCATGTACTTTTAATGTCCCCGGTTCGCTTTTCTCTAAGTGTCTATTCTAAAATATACGAAAGTGACTTCTAGTAAAGGCATTGTATTCAAATTTAGTAAACTTACATCTTTCCGGTTGACTCAGTTATTTGAAATCTAAATAAAGTCAAATATTTGCATAGGTTTTGCATAGAACATATTTCTTCTCAGTAGTCTTATGTAAATTATAAGGGTCTTTAGTGCAGCTATTTCGAGACTATATGACCTCTGATCACCATTGGCCTTCAAAAAGTCACTAGAAGTGCCTATATATGTGGGAAAAATGATAATACACACTGCCTACTAATTTTAATTAGTCTTATCTCTAATCTGAAGCTGTTTATTTCTTCAATCGATTCGAGTTCTGGTCGGTAGATATCAATAAAAAATTGATACTCGGGGGTGTGCGTAGTGACTAACACAGAGATCAATCATCAGGGATTGGAAACAACTGTATATATGATCTAGCGACATGAGAGACCTATATAGTTTTTGTTGAAAATTCAATATATTGTTACTTATTCAATTTTATTGTTGCTAAATTTAGAGTAAATTGCGAAAGTTGGCTTAATCTCATGTTAATATTGAGTTCAGGCAATTATGATTATTTCAGAGGACAATAACGTTATAATCAGATTATATTTGTAACATCATTTTTTGAATCATTTTTACTTCTTTGCAGCTGCCTCTGCTGTTACAACCGCCGGATCAAATGGCGCCGTGATAACGGCCAAGCGTCTCTCCGCTACCCGTCTTGCCATTGATCTGGTCAAACAGAAAGGTATCTTCGGCCTGTACAAGGGTTTTGGAGCTACCGCCCTACGAGATGTCAGTTTCTCAATCATGTACTTCCCTCTCTTTGCTCGACTGGACAACCTGGTATGTGGTTTTCTCTATTTGTTCAAATCTTACTTCAGTGGAACATCTATTGACTGTCTTTTCGAACTTGTTATGCAGGGTCCACGAAGGAGTGACGGGATGGGAACCGTGTTTTACTGGTCCTTCCTTTCCGGTTGTACAGCTAGCACTGTAGCATCATTCCTTGTCACCCCTATGGATGGTAAGTTGGTACTCTCTCTTGTATAAATTATGAAAACCCTATTTTATTATCCGTGCCTGAAGTTTGTTCATTTATCTATGTATTATCATTTCATGACTGTGTCTCTTACAGTGTTATTTACCGGAAGTTTGCTCCTATAGAAGTTGATCCAATGGCCATCTAAGTCATTTGAAATGGCGATTAGTATTGTTTATTGTTAGCTTAGTTTGGGAAATTGTATAAGTTAACTGGAATATGATTTAACTATGGAAAGAGTTATTTGGTTTCAAGTCACTTTACTTTAATTCGAATGTCCAGGATTTGTTGGCAGTCATTGCTAATCTGTCGTTCAAACCACTCTATCAAGATGTGCGTTGAAGGATGAGCGTATATCTTTAATAGATCAGTTGAGTAATGTAGTTGCTTGAATTCATTTATTTCATTACTATATAACGTTGAAGTGGGAACAGGGTATTTTAAATGATTGAAGTTTTAATTCATTTGACAGTGCACAATTCCCATGGGTTCCATCTAATCACACTGAATTGGTGTTGGAAATAATCTATCTTGATGAACCGACACTGGTTTTCTCTTTGATTAGAGCTAGTTTTATCAACTTCGCGTTTGAGTCTCAGTATTTCATTTCTTAAAATGGAAAAGTGCAATAAATTAAGGAAATAATAACCTTTTAAGTGTAATATTATGAGGGGGGAAATTCGGGTTTGATTTGAGCACGCCACATCTCACAGTAATTAGTCAATAGCATCTCTCTAAAATTGAGTTGGAAGTAACGGGTTGCCTTGAGGTTTACATGCAGTTCTCTTTCAGTCCTTATTAATCCCACCAATATTATATTGAAAATAGGTATTCTATTCTAGCTTTAGTTGTTCTGAAATGTTAAGTGGTATTTCACTGTTAACTGCCACTTGGATGGCAGTAATCCGTTTTTGGATAATTATGTTTCCAAAAATAATATTTACAATCAAGTGGGAGTTAAGTTGGAATGGCGTCCCGGTTGGATTTGGGTGTAATTTCAGCAGTTAGGTGTTGTGCATATAACAAATCTCTATTAACCAGGTAAATATGTCAACATCTGTGCGCAAAACTGCACGTACTTGCGAATTAGGAGGGTCATGTACGTTTTTAGTTCGACCGGTGGTTTTTGATCTCTTCTCTATTAGTCTTGCTTAACTGCTTGAATAGTCGTTTTGGGGAATGAGACTCTCAAATGAGACACAATGAAAAAAACTTTACTGAAGTATCGATGGAAAATTTCTTCTCCCGACACCTTTTCAAGACCATTCTACTGAACACGTCGTTTTTTTCAAATTTCTACTTGGTTAGAAATTAAATTGGCTTCTTCCATTAATCCTGTTAATGTAAGTAATAAAACGGTCTTTGGGTGTTTTTTGGTGGGTGGAGATTATTTGCAGTGTCCACCAAGTTCCATTAACTACATTTGTCTAATGCGTATATGCTAAAATGGATTTCTAGCTCGCAAGAGGATCCTCAAATTTTCTTAAAGACTGCTTTCAGCCCCTAGTCACAGTCTCATGGTTTCATGGTGAAACTATCTTATCTTGAGCCAAGTTTCACATAAGTATTTGGAGAATTGACGGTTTCCGCTAAATTCTTAGCTTTGTTTGTGTTGTGATCCCTTAACCACCAAACAGATGTGCATTCCTTCGATGTCAACGGGTCATTAGAATCAAGCTGCAGTTACCTGCCATCGTTTCTCTGTCTTATCTGCTTCTAGTACAGAAAGCTTAATGCTTAACCTTTTAGTGGGAATGAATTAGATAAATATTATTTAAATTGAAAACTGTAAGAAGTATGTTAACATTGTCTCTCAGAATCGATTCAAGGTAGTCAAATTTAACATAATATATTTAATATTTAATCCATCTGAACCTATTGAAAGTAGTTTGAGTAGAGTATGGCTTTATTAAAGACGAGTTACTAGTCTCTAAACATAAATATATGGCTCGTGTCATTGGTTCCTCATTCGGGCTTCCCTATAGTGCCAAAACAGATTTCTGTAAACTGGTTCCCCTTCCGGGTAAAGCAAGATTGACTGCTGACTTTCTAATTGGGTGGTGAGATCATAAGTTCTCCCTTCTCTGGTTCCCTACTTACAGTTTCGTAAAAACTAAAAGGTGATACAAATCATGTTAGAACTGACGTTGAACTACTTAAAAAGTAATTGAACATTGGCATTAACTTATCATCAATTCTAAAATAATTATATTGATTCCTCTTTGACTGCTCCTAATCTAATCATTTCTCTTGATAATCTTTCCTTTCTTTTCTTATTGGACTATCTTCGCATAGTAATGAACACTTGAAATGTTTTTTTCATTTTTGCATCAAATTGCATCTCAGTTTATTGTGAACCACCTTACTCCCTTTTTGTTGTTATAAAAAATTGGGTTAAGACCATAAATTGCTGAAGGAGGAAATGAAATTGGTCTAAAGATATGTTTTTTTCAGTTGGAAAAGTCAATATTTTAAGTCTGCTATAGGTGTGCCTCCCTCTTACCTAATGTGGAACAAGCATAGCAAGCGCCAAATGGCATATTATGAATTGTTTTGTGCTTTCAATAGGGCAAAAAGTTTCTCCTTAAGGTATTGAGGAGGTAACATCATTGACTATCCATATGAAACTGGCAATTTAAAAGTGTGCTTTATGACTTTGTACTGCTAGGATGCCTAATGGTTTTGTTTACTCTAGTGGTGAAAACCCGGTTGCAAACTCTCTCCCATCTGCAAGGTGAAACTCGATTTACCGGAATCGCAGACTGCTTCCGACGCACATTCCAACAAGAAGGCGTGAAGGCTTTATTCAAGGGGGCAGGATGTCGTGTTTTGGTAATGGCCCCTCTCTTCGGTATCGCTCAAACTGTCTACTACCTAGGGGTGGCTGAATTCTTTCTTGGAATAGGAAAATATAAGGGCAATAGAGAGTAGATGCCTGTGATCTCAATCTCGTTTGAATCTCCAATTATTCGCCAATCTACTTCTTAGAATGGACTTTTGATTTACCTGTTTTTTCGATTTTTCACGTATAGAGCCAAGCCTTTCAATTTATCTGTTTTGAAGCCAGCTTGTATAATAGTGCGATAATTCGTTTATATATCTCTTTTTTTAAAATAAACTGATGAATGTATTTAATTTTTTTATTATTCTCCTTTTGAATTGCGGGAACTTGGATTGCTATAGAAGGTAGTGGAGTATTACCATTTGCATCCTGCTTTAATCGAGGTTTATGGTCAGTTATAATTTGAATAAACCGGGTGATTTTAAGGCTGGGCTTGAATTTAAGGAGCAGGAATGACATCTAAAAAATAGCATATGGCACCATTGGTTGTCACAAAATTATCAATTAACGCAAGCATAGTATTATGAAGGCCAAAAGACGTCTTGATGGTCGGTCCAGTTCCTGTTCAGAAAGCAGTTTGAATTAATGTTTGAGAAAACTCACTTGAAACATCCGTTGAGCCTCTTTTTGTTCGACTACTACTGCCTATCGCAAGTTGGATGTTACAAAATTGAAGGCAGGTCGGAGCATGATACTGGGCTGTTGAAATAGGCGACAATGGAGTCTTGAAGTGCTGACGGGAACAAATTTCTCTGAGAAACCTCGCTGCAGAATTGTTGAAGCCGTAGGTTGAATTTATGGGCACACTCGTTAAGCTTGTATTGAATTTCCAATTTTTCGAAATGTGGGAAAATTTCTCTTACAAAGAGCTAACTCAGGCATCTTAATTCGGATGTGAATCAACTTTTTTGCTGTGCGGACGAGCGTGCGATTTGAATACTGAATCTAAACGAAAAAGTCGCTCCTATTCATTAGCTACTTCTGCGTTCTTTATGACTTAAATCTCAACACATTTTTTAATTCCGCATTGCATAATAATAGTGATAGTGTGGGCACGTTATCGCGTTGTTCGTCATCGTATGCCTGCGTGCCTGCTCGCCAGGATTGGGAGGTACGGCTGTACAACTCTGTACAGCGACCGTACAAACAGTGACCAATCATCAACCTCTGTTTAACCTAATCCCCCATCCTGATCACGAGTAGCTCCCTGCGTGTACACTTTTTCCGCAATACCCGTACTGAATAAACGTGCTCCTTGCTACACGTCTGTTGCCTTTATAGCTGGGCTATAGCTTAGCTGGTTCTGGGAGTCTAGCTAGATGTAGGAGGATCTGCCATAGGGATTTCTGAGTCAGTCAGGCTTTAATAAAGTAGCAATCCGCTACAATAGCATCTATATTGCAAACGGGACAGAAATTGATGTGGACTTGACTCATATCACAGTGCCTGAATTAGCGGTATACGGTGTGGAGGAGCGAAGCTAGGCTAATCAAAGTCGTGCTCGTTCGAATCCATGATATAACTTTTTGCTCGATTTTATTGTATGATGTCCCAAATTTTCAAATTCACGATTTGGTCTGCATGTTACCGCGTGAATTTCGGCAGTCTATTTACACGTCTATCAGCCGGTTATGCCAGCTCGACTAAGGAGTGACAAAGTATACCTTCAGTATTTTTTTTTCATGATATTTTTCTTCCTCTAATTTACTTGACCATCAGTGAAATTGAGGAAATCGATCAAAAAATACATCAATATACTTAATTAAGATTGCAAAACTTGTCTGATTCTTTTGCTTAATATTTCATGTTGTCAGGGTACTATAGAAAGAATAAAAATCATTATATAATTTATATTATAGACTAATCACAGAAAAGCGTTAAATTGATGAGCAATCCAGGTCGACTACGACCTATTTAATCACCAAATTATTCCATCACCGTCTAACGAATATTTCATTGATTTTTATATGGAAAACCTTTGTACTAATATGTATAAATGCATAAAAAGATCATTCTACATGTTATTTAAAATAAATTTTCAAAAACCATATTTTTCTACTGCGCATTCCCATGGATAGGTTCTTCAGCACCTATGAGAATAGACCAAGACATCTGAAAACGCAATCTGGTCCAATACAGAAACCCATAAGACTGAAGAAAGAATTACAAATCGATGACAAACCAAAAAGCCTCTCTCTGCCCATGAACCCATTGGCAGACACTGATGTAGTGTGTTGCACCCAACTGCTTGACTTCTTCAGGAAATCAAACACCCCTCCAGAGTAAATGCGCTCACTGGCCCTTGAGACAATCAATGTCAACTATCCTGGAGATCAATGGCTCCAAGTCTTCACTGATGGGTCATACAG